TGCATTTCAGAGCTCTGCAGAGCATAACTGGACACACGTTTAGGGTCAGGTTACTAAAACAGGAGGGGTCCACTGCATTTCAGAGCTCTGCAGAGCACAGCTGGACACACGTTTAGGGTCAGGTTACTAAAACAGGAGGGGTCCACTGCATTTCAGAGCTCTGCAGAGCATAACTGGACACACGTTTAGGGTCAGGTTACTAAAACAGGAGGGGTCCACTGCATTTCAGAGCTCTGCAGAGCACAGCTGGACACACGTTTAGGGTCAGGTTACTAAAACAGGAGGGGTCCACTGCATTTCAGAGCTCTGCAGAGCATAACTGGACACACGTTTAGGGTCAGGTTACTAAAACAGGAGGGGTCCACTGCATTTCAGAGCTCTGCAGAGCCCAGCTGGACACACGTTTAGGGTCAGGTTACTAAAACAGGAGGGGTCCACTGCATGTCAGAGCTCTGCAGAGCACAGCTGGACACAAGTTTAGGGTCAGGTTACTAAAACAGGAGGGGTCCACTGCATGTCAGAGCTCTGCAGAGCATAACTGGACACACGTTTAGGGTCAGGTTACTAAAACAGGAGGGGTCCACTGCATTTCAGAGCTCTGCAGAGCACAGCTGGACACACGTTTAGGGTCAGGTTACTAAAACAGGAGGGGTCCACTGCATGTCAGAGCTCTGCAGAGCACAGCTGGACACAAGTTTAGGGTCAGGTTACTAAAACAGGAGGGGTCCACTGCATTTCAGAGCTCTGCAGAGCACAGCTGGACACACGTTTAGGGTCAGGTTACTAAAACAGGAGGGGTCCACTGCATTTCAGAGCTCTGCAGAGCATAACTGGACACACGTTTAGGGTCAGGTTACTAAAACAGGAGGGGTCCACTGCATTTCAGAGCTCTGCAGAGCATAACTGGACACACGTTTAGGGTCAGGTTACTAAAACAGGAGGGGTCCACTGCATTTCAGAGCTCTGCAGAGCATAACTGGACACACGTTTAGGGTCAGGTTACTAAAACAGGAGGGGTCCACTGCATTTCAGAGCTCTGCAGAGCCCAGCTGGACACACGTTTAGGGTCAGGTTACTAAAACAGGAGGGGTCCACCGCATTTCAGAGCTCTGCAGAGCACAGCTGGACACACGTTTAGGGTCAGGTTACTAAAACAGGAGGGGTCCACTGCATTTCAGAGCTCTGCAGAGCCCAGCTGGACACACGTTTAGGGTCAGGTTACTAAAACAGGAGGGGTCCACTGCATTTCAGAGCTCTGCAGAGCATAACTGGACACACGTTTAGGGTCAGGTTACTAAAACAGGAGGGGTCCACCGCATTTCAGAGCTCTGCAGAGCACAGCTGGACACACGTTTAGGGTCAGGTTACTAAAACAGGAGGGGTCCACTGCATTTCAGAGCTCTGCAGAGCCCAGCTGGACACACGTTTAGGGTCAGGTTACTAAAACAGGAGGGGTCCACTGCATTTCAGAGCTCTGCAGAGCATAACTGGACACACGTTTAGGGTCAGGTTACTAAAACAGGAGGGGTCCACTGCATTTCAGAGCTCTGCAGAGCACAGCTGGACACACGTTTAGGGTCAGGTTACTAAAACAGGAGGGGTCCACTGCATTTCAGAGCTCTGCAGAGCATAACTGGACACACGTTTAGGGTCAGGTTACTAAAACAGGAGGGGTCCACTGCATTTCAGAGCTCTGCAGAGCACAGCTGGACACACGTTTAGGGTCAGGTTACTAAAACAGGAGGGGTCCACTGCATTTCAGAGCTCTGCAGAGCATAACTGGACACACGTTTAGGGTCAGGTTACTAAAACAGGAGGGGTCCACTGCATTTCAGAGCTCTGCAGAGCCCAGCTGGACACACGTTTAGGGTCAGGTTACTAAAACAGGAGGGGTCCACTGCATTTCAGAGCTCTGCAGAGCCCAGCTGGACACACGTTTAGGGTCAGGTTACTAAAACAGGAGGGGTCCACTGCATTTCAGAGCTCTGCAGAGCACAGCTGGACACACGTTTAGGGTCAGGTTACTAAAACAGGAGGGGTCCACTGCATGTCAGAGCTCTGCAGAGCATAACTGGACACACGTTTAGGGTCAGGTTACTAAAACAGGAGGGGTCCACTGCATGTCAGAGCTCTGCAGAGCATAACTGGACACACGTTTAGGGTCAGGTTACCATGGAGGAGCTGGAGGACCCTACGGTACAAACTAATTTCTGCAAACTAAATCAATCTCAGCTTCTTCTCACTTTTCCTCCATTCTGAAATCACTTTAACCTGTTCAGCTTAGTGATTTAAAATGAATTTTGTCCTACAAAGATTAGCGTTTATATGAAATAGAGCCAAACATAAAAAAACAGTCTGTGCAAACAAAGCCTTGCTGTGCAGTGTGTCTGCCTTTGCTTACAGCAAGCAGGGATGCCTGCAACTGTGAGGGGCATCATTTTCCCAATCTTTTCACAATGGTATGATAGATCTTTTTAAACCACTTTTACCTTCTTTTCTTTCTTTTTTAAAGGCTCAGCCATCCTTAATAATTAATGAAAAGAATGTCGCCCCCCTTGGCTGCCCCATTAAGCTATTTAAAAAAATTTAGAACTCCACTATACCTTGATTAGGAGACAGTTAAAAGGTGACTAGTATCTGCTGAAGCCAGCGCCGTCCAGGAGAAAGAATTCAGATATCTACAGTAAAGTCTAATACATTTGAAAAACTTGTTCATAAAAAGACATTTTGAACCAAACTAAACTAAAAAGTAAAACTATTTTTTATTTTCAAAAGTATAATTTTATCCTTATTCATCCCACTAATTTGCACACACACTGTTCACCATTAATTTAGTTCCTGCTCCACTTGTGAGTGGGGATGGTTTAGTCTCAAGCTCTTGATGTGTGTTAACCTCTTAATGAGCCTGAGGCAGCAGAACATCTCATTACAGGCGACAGGACGGGCCGTAAACATATCCTGTAGGAAAGGACGGCGACGGTAAGCAGCAATTAACAAGATGTAAAACACTTTTAGAGGTGTAAGGAATAATAACTGAGAAAAGCCTCTGATTCAATTATCTGACACAGGATTTAACTTTAAGAGGAACCATATTGCAACAATCACTTCAAAGGACCAATATTATAAATAAATGAATAATGAGAGCGTGTATTTGCCGTTTGTACAGGAACATTTGGAGATGCCATGTCTGTTTGGATGTCGGTGAGCAGAAAGATGGGGCCTGCTATGGGATTCTGTTAGACGGCTGGCTCAGCTAGCCAGGAGGTGGTTTAATGTCAGTATCCAAACCTGGGGGAATGGTCATCAGAGCCTGCCTTTCAGACACAGCATTCTGAACGCACATTAGCTAAAACATGGAGTAAGAAAGGTAATCGTTCATTTGTGACTTTATACACAGGCTTCAAGACACATAGGGAAGGGCAGCATCAAACAGGTCTACATCAGACGGTCCTCATGGTCTGACAAGCTTCAGCCTTTTCAGTCATCTGAACATTATGGTGGAATTTTTACTTTGGGATCTCACCACGCGCTAGTGACACCGTTGTACTCGTGCACGAGTTTCTGTGCAGCCCTCCTGAATCGCGGAAGCAAAATATGTTTTGACAGATGAGGGCGAAGATATACTGTCCCTCCTCTGTGAGCCTCCTCCTGATTTGCCTGGGCAGAGATAATCACACAATGTCATGGTTTTGGTTCTGTTCAAGTTTTATCTCTTTGTTTTCATTGGTCTTATTTCCATTCTTGTGTTCTAGCTATTTTGATTGTATTTAAGTTCTTAGATATTTCTTGTTTGCCATCTTGTATCAGTCTTCTTTTCCCTAGCTCCCTTATAGCCTCCTCTGTTCACACCTGCTCCCAATCTGCTAATTAGCCACCTGGTCTTAGTATCTCTCTCCCATATATTCTCCCCATGTTCAGTCACTCTTTGCTGGTTTGTTCCTTCTTGTGAGTACTCCTGTTTCTCAGTTTTTGTGGATTTTGTGGATTTATGTTTTGGATTTTAACTTCTGTTGAACTTTTGGTTGATTAAATCTTCCAGAAACACTTCAGCTTTTGTGTCTGCATTTGGGTCCTGTCAAACCTCCTCCCCCACTTGACAGACAGGAAGTAGTGTCAGGAAGACTTTTGCTGGCTGCTTTATCTTATAAGTGAAGATGGTGGCTGCAAGTGGGACAGTGGAGGAGGCAACATTTGGCAGATTGGTTAATAGGAATTCCCAGCAATTCTTCCCCAAAAAATATTCCTCAGGAAGTAGCGCTGTAATCATGTCAGCGCAGGCCAATCAGGAGGAGGCACACAGGGGAGGTATGTCTCCGCTCCACCGGTCAAAACACATTTTGCTTTGCGTCAAGAAAAAATCAGTACAGAGGCACCTTCAGCAGTGCAGCCGTCCATGAGCCAGGGCGGCGGCCAGAAAGCAGTGCACAAATAGAACAGTGTTGCACACTCGTGGTGAAATCTCGGCAATGCACTGGAGGTAGGGGCACCCGCATCGGAGCTATTGCTCTCCAATTACTCGCAACTACTGAGGCAAATGAATCAACCATGACTTTAAACTTTTGCAATGCTTTTCCTAAAAAGTATTAAAAGTTGATATAACCAGTACAATATTATTTAATGATCTAGAAAAACCAGAGATGGTAAAGGAGCAAAAAATATACATAAAAATCTTTGGCCAAGAACAAAGCAAGATGGAACAAAATGTTTAAAAGTCACTAAAGAGTTAAAAATAAATTTTATACCAGAAATATATTATTTCTATATAGAAGAACATATATGGCATTCAGCCAAAATCTTCAGTCACTATAGACTCTGATGTTAGTTTATTAATTGTAGTGAACACACCAATAATTAGTAACAACAGTTTCAGATTGAAACTGTAAATATTGATTATTCATTAGTTTGTGTTCAGCTAATTAAACCACGTAAAAATCTGCTCCAACTTATAAAATATTGTTATGGTTTTAGTATTTGTGTTCAACAACTGCAGATGATTGTACCTTTATCACTGAAGTCGTCGACCAGGATGATTTCTGCGATGAGCTCTGGAGGAGAGCGGTTGATCACGCTGTGAACCGTCCTCAGCAGCGACGACCAGCCCTCATTATGAAACGGGATGATGATGCTGGTGTTTGGAAGCTTCTCTGAGTACAGCTTCAGTTTGCAGCTGCAAACACAAACAAAAAAACATCATTATTACAGTATTTTGGTTTCTGCAAAGGGGCACAACAGTTCCTTCCCATATGCAACAGCCGTGAAGCGATGGACGCTTAGCAGGCTCTTTGTCAGATCCTGGGTCAGAGTTTGAACCCATTTACTCGCCTTGTTCACAGCAGCTCTGCAAACTGGGCTTGATTCCAGGAGCAATCTTTGTATAACAATAATTTTCAACCAGTTTTTAGAAATAAGAGACAATAGTGTTTTCCACAGAGTATTCCACATAACATTTTTCTTTTCTTTATGTTTTTTTATTTTATTTTTACGCAGGGTGATAAGCATTGTATAAAATAAAAACTATTTTACTGAATGTTTTAATGTGAGCATTTAATTCTTAAGCATTTTATGTTTTCCAGCTAAAAAACAACAAAAAACCACATTCATTTTTTGCCTCGAAGTTGCTAAAGAATCGAAATAAATCCAAAATAAAATCCTATTATAACCCTTTATTTATAAAACTGCAGCTCCTCTGAGTGACTGCCTTATAATCACATTTAAACTGGAACAAAACACAGAATCAAAATTATAATCAGAATGACTTTATTGGTTTTACTTGAGCTGCTTTGACGAGCTCTGATAGCTCAGTGTGAAAAACTGATGATATCAGACTACATAACAGTCTACATCCAGACTGTTCTCTACATCCAGGCTGTTCTCTACATCCAGTCTGTTCTCTACATCCAGACTGTTCTCTACATCCAGTCTGTTCTCTACATCAAGACTGTTCTCTACATTCAGACTGTTCTCTACATCAAGACTGTTCTCTACATTCAGACTGTTCTCTACATCAAGACTGTTCTCTACATCCAGTCTGTTCTCTACATCCAGTCTGTTCTCTACATCCAGTCTGTTCTCTACATCAAGACTGTTCTCTACATTTAGACTGTTCTCTACATCCAGTCTGTTCTCTACATCCAGTCTGTTCTCTACATCAAGACTGTTCTCTACATTTAGACTGTTCTCTACATCTAGTCTGTTCTCTACATCTAGTCTGTTCTCTACATCCAGTCTGTTCCCTACATCCAGTCTGTTTTCTATATCCAGTCTGTTCCCTTCATCCAGTCTGTTCTCTACATCCAGACTGTTCTCTACATCCAGTCTGTTCCCTGCATCCAGTCTGTTCCCTACATCCAGTCTGTTCTCTACATCCAGACTGTTCTCTACATCCAGGCTGTTCTCTACATCCAGGCTGTTCTCTACATCCAGTCTGTTCTCTACATCCAGACTGTTCTCTATATCCAGGCTGTTCTCTACATCTAGTCTGTTCTCTACATCCAGACTGTTCTCTACATCCAGGCTGTTCTCTACATCCAGACTGTTCTCTATATCCAGTCTGTTCCCTACATCCAGACTGTTCTCTACATCTAGTCTGTTCTCTATATCTAGACTGTTCTCTACATCAAGTCTGTTCTCTACATCTAGTCTGTTCCCTACATCCAAACTGTTCTCTATATCCAGACTGTTCCCTACATCCAGATTGTTCTCTACATCTAGTCTGTTCCCTACATCCAGTCTGTTCTCTACATCCAGACTGTTCTCTACATCCAGTCTGTTCCCTACATCCAGTCTGTTCTCTACATCCAGACTGTTCTCTACATCCAGTCTGTTCTCTACATCCAGTCTGTTCTCTACATCCAGTCTGTTCTCTACATCAAGACTGTTCTCTACATTCAGACTGTTCTCTACATCCAGTCTGTTCTCTACATCCAGTCTGTTCTCTACATCCAGTCTGTTCTCTACATCAAGACTGTTCTCTACATTCAGACTGTTCTCTACATCCAGTCTGTTCTCTACATCCAGTCTGTTCTCTACATCAAGACTGTTCTCTACATCAAGTCTGTTCTCTACATCCAGTCTGTTCTCTACATCCAGTCTGTTCTCTACATCAAGACTGTTCTCAACATTCAGACTGTTCTCTACATCTAGTCTGTTCTCTACATCTAGTCTGTTCTCTACATCCAGTCTGTTCCCTACATCCAGTCTGTTCTCTACATCCAGACTGTTCTCTACATCCAGTCTGTTCCCTGCATCCAGTCTGTTCCCTACATCCAGTCTGTTCTCTACATCCAGTCTGTCTACATCCAGACTGTTCTCTACATCCAGACTGTTCTCTACATCCAGGCTGTTCTCTACATCCAGGCTGTTCTCTACATCCAGTCTGTTCTCTACATCCAGACTGTTCTCTACATCCAGGCTGTTCTCTACATCTAGTCTGTTCTCTACATCCAGACTGTTCTCTACATCCAGGCTGTTCTCTACATCCAGTCTGTTCTCTACATCCAGACTGTTCTCTACATCCAGGCTGTTCTCTACATCTAGTCTGTTCTCTACATCCAGACTGTTCTCTACATCCAGGCTGTTCTCTACATCCAGTCTGTTCTCTACATCCAGACTGTTCTCTACATCCAGACTGTTCTCTACATCCAGACTGTTCTCTACATCCAGGCTGTTCTCTACATCCAGACTGTTCTCTACATCCAGACTGTTCTCTACATCCAGGCTGTTCTCTACATCCAGTCTGTTCTCTACATCCAGACTGTTCTCTACATCCAGTCTGTTCCCTACATCCAGACTGTTCTCTACATCTAGTCTGTTCTCTATATCTAGACTGTTCTCTACATCAAGTCTGTTCTCTACATCTAGTCTGTTCCCTACATCCAAACTGTTCTCTATATCCAGACTGTTCCCTACATCCAGATTGTTCTCTACATCTAGTCTGTTCTCTACATCCAGTCTGTTCTCTACATCCAGTCTGTTCCCTACATCCAGTCTGTTCTCTACATCCAGACTGTTCTCTACATCCAGTCTGTTCTCTACATCCAGTCTGTTCTCTACATCCAGTCTGTTCTCTACATCAAGACTGTTCTCTACATTCAGACTGTTCTCTACATCTAGTCTGTTCTCTACATCTAGTCTGTTCTCTACATCCAGTCTGTTCCCTACATCCAGTCTGTTTTCTATATCCAGTCTGTTCCCTTCATCCAGTCTGTTCTCTACATCCAGACTGTTCTCTACATCCAGTCTGTTCCCTGCATCCAGTCTGTTCCCTACATCCAGTCTGTTCTCTACATCCAGTCTGTCTACATCCAGACTGTTCTCTACATCCAGACTGTTCTCTACATCCAGACTGTTCTCTACATCCAGGCTGTTCTCTACATCCAGGCTGTTCTCTACATCCAGTCTGTTCTCTACATCCAGACTGTTCTCTACATCCAGGCTGTTCTCTACATCTAGTCTGTTCTCTACATCCAGACTGTTCTCTACATCCAGGCTGTTCTCTACATCCAGTCTGTTCTCTACATCCAGACTGTTCTCTACATCCAGGCTGTTCTCTACATCTAGTCTGTTCTCTACATCCAGACTGTTCTCTACATCCAGGCTGTTCTCTACATCCAGTCTGTTCTCTACATCCAGACTGTTCTCTACATCCAGACTGTTCTCTACATCCAGGCTGTTCTCTACATCCAGACTGTTCTCTATATCCAGTCTGTTCCCTACATCCAGACTGTTCTCTACATCCAGTCTGTTCCCTGCATCCAGTCTGTTCCCTACATCCAGTCTGTTCTCTACATCCAGTCTGTCTACATCCAGACTGTTCTCTACATCCAGACTGTTCTCTACATCCAGACTGTTCTCTACATCCAGGCTGTTCTCTACATCCAGGCTGTTCTCTACATCCAGTCTGTTCTCTACATCCAGACTGTTCTCTACATCCAGGCTGTTCTCTACATCTAGTCTGTTCTCTACATCCAGACTGTTCTCTACATCCAGGCTGTTCTCTACATCCAGTCTGTTCTCTACATCCAGACTGTTCTCTACATCCAGGCTGTTCTCTACATCTAGTCTGTTCTCTACATCCAGACTGTTCTCTACATCCAGGCTGTTCTCTACATCCAGTCTGTTCTCTACATCCAGACTGTTCTCTACATCCAGACTGTTCTCTACATCCAGGCTGTTCTCTACATCCAGACTGTTCTCTATATCCAGTCTGTTCCCTACATCCAGACTGTTCTCTACATCTAGTCTGTTCTCTATATCTAGACTGTTCTCTACATCAAGTCTGTTCTCTACATCTAGTCTGTTCCCTACATCCAAACTGTTCTCTATATCCAGACTGTTCCCTACATCCAGATTGTTCTCTATATCTAGTCTGTTCTCTACATCCAGTCTGTTCCCTACATCCAGTCTGTTCTCTACATCCAGACTGTTCTCTACATCCAGTCTGTTCTCTACATCCAGTCTGTTCTCTACATCTAGTCTGTTCCCTACATCCAAACTGTTCTCTATATCCAGACTGTTCCCTACATCCAGATTGTTCTCTACATCTAGTCTGTTCTCTACATCCAGTCTGTTCCCTACATCCAGTCTGTTCTCTACATCCAGTCTGTTCTCTACATCCAGTCTGTTCTCTACATCCAGTCTGTTGGATGTGGGTCAAAGCTGAACTCAAACATTGAACGATTGATTTTTTTACTTTATTGATCTCACAGTGGAGAAGTGAACTTGTTCCGTCAGCAGAAATAGTCAAAGGAGAAAAAGGTGCATGGGATATATATAGTATAAACAGTGCGTCCACATATGACAGCTTTTGCTTTGTTGTATAGCAGGATCATTATACAGGGTTTATTGCACAGGATGTTTACATGGGTATTTATATAGATGGATATTTATCTACATAGTTATTGCGCAGGGTGTCAGATATAAAGAAACAGTTTATTGCACAGGGTATTACATAGTAATTTTCATACATTGCAGTAGTTATTGCATTTGTAGTGTGGCATTGTAGAGTCTGCTTGCAGCAGGGATGAATGACCTTTGGTAGCACTCCTTTTTATAGACAGGGTGTAAAAGTCTTTCACTAAAGGCTGCAACCCTTGCAATGCACTTGCGGACCACTAGGGGTACACATACCTTTGGTTGGGAATCACTGTGGTAAGGGAAAGTTCAGAG